GTATGGTTTGTTTTTGGACGTTCTGACATGAGTGTGCGGTACGAATTGCTACCGCAACAGTTCCCGCCAAAAATAGGCACATGCAGAAGCTTTCGCTAGCTACAAATCATTTGCAGGAGAAGTCGTGCTTATACTGCTGACTTTAGTTTCCTAACATATCGTGAGTTATTCTGACATGGAATCAAGAAATCGTTAGTGATTTCTTGGTGTATGTGCCTTAGGACTTCTCGAGCAAATTATTTCCATCGCAGGCTAATCGCTCGAAGGTGTAGACAGTCGTCAGTTTGCTGATCTGTCAACCCCGAGTCTGTTGTTTTACCAACGCGAAATTCGCAGCTATTGTAACTTTTTTTATACTGACGTGTGGTAATGGATTTTTCAGATTAAACGCAAAACTTCGCTTTTCAGTGCTCAAGGAAAAGTTAATCATCGCACTGTTAATTGCCTGAAAGCGTATAAGTCTTTATAAGCTGGAAATCATGTAGACGAGTTACAGGACGGAGAATGGCATTACTTATTTCTCCTGCACTCCGTAGGCGGTGCCATAATGATGCGCAATCCATAATCCGGAAAGAGATGGCTGACTAAAAGGGCCGGAGTCCTGAATCCCCCCCTCCCAATTGTTGCTGAATGCATTTTCTAAAGCAGCTTTCGGGTACGCTGTCAAATATCGATTTTTGCTCTCGAACACTCGATTTGGCTCAGCTGGTCGGCCGTTTTGCGCCGTCACGGCGTGCATTTTAGAGGTTCCCACGCTCGTATTCACGGGTATTTGTGTCTCCGTGGCATGGTTTTGCCCGCTCATTTTCGCGTTTACGGCCGTCTCCCCGTACGCCGAGTTTACACATACTTAACTAACGGTTGTGGGGGCGATTAGTGAGTACCCACCTACGAATTAAAGCCACTACTATTGTGCAGTGTGAATTTACTTATATAGTGTGTCCTAAAGACATTTTTATTTGCACAGTAGTACCGACAGTAACATTAAACGTGCAAGAGAAAATGTGACCCATTAAACACTTTTCGATACGAAGAATTTATCATATTTCCACCAGACTTTGAGCTCTGTTTTGCAGGGTTTTTGAGTTCCCAACGTCCAAAACAGACAGTGCTGTTGCGTTAGGTCCTATGCCACTCCAGCCGCTGCTCCCAATCTCATCTCAAAATGAGTTCTGCTTAGGATTTCTACCGGAATAAAGTGAAAGTGGGAAGACAGGGTGCTGCGCAAATCTCGTCGTATCCCAGTTCATGTGACATTCGCCATTGTCCACCTCAAAAAATTTGCTGTCGCTTCTTCTAGAGCTCCTAAATCCCCTTAAATATGGGCCCACGTCGAAATTTGTCTCCGACTACTTTTGTGTCCACTTTGATGTCCTCCGGCTCGGGCCCTTTTCGTCATTTTCTGTCGGCCTTTGAATTCATGGAATGAAATAATGGAATTCTCCTTCCATATTAACCATAGTTAAGACTGTGTAGTGCGTTTGCGGATTTCTAGTTTGCTCACACACTCATACCCATAATGAGAAAACTTGCACATATTTTCTATTAGCATATGAGACTATTTGCACGAATCCGTCACCTTCACCTTTATCTTGCTAAATAATTGGAAAATGGAATCTTTCTGACAAGTCGGCAAACTGTTGATTCTATGGTCAAACGAATTGAATGCTGGAATTCGAGATATGACTTCATTACGATAACGAGCCGTAAT